CCTGCATACTAGCTTTCTGTGATTCGTGCATGAGTACTCCCAGATCCTTCTGTACTGAGGTATTTTGATGTTTCTTTCCATTTAGATCATTTACTTTTTTTATTCTTCTGGCCAAAATAGACAAACTCACACTTATCCATGTTAAACTCCATCTGCCAAATTTTGGCCCATTGACATAACTGTCTATATCCCTTTTGTAAATGTCTTATTTCTTCATTGCAATTTACTTTTCCACCTATTTTATTTACATCTGCAAATTTGGCTACAGTACACTTACACCCCTGCATCCAAGTCTTCAACGTAGGTTCTAAATTGTTCAGGCCTGAGGACAAAACCCTGTGGCATCTCAGTTGTTTTAGCTTGCCAATGAGAAAATGACCTTTTTTCCCCGACTCTGCTTTCTGTTGGTTAGCCAATCTTCTCTCCAAGCTAATGTATTACCCCAGCTCCATGTGAGCTTAACTTGTGTATTAACCTTTTGTACAACACCTCAACAAACACCTTCTGGAAGTTCTGATAGACTACATCTGCCCCCATTATCCACTTGTTACATCTCTGAAGAACTCTAGCAGATTAGTCCAACATGATTTACCCTTCATGAAACCATGCTGACTCTGATGGATTGCATTTTGATTTTCCAAATGTCCTGTGCTACTTTCTTAATAATGAATTCCAACAATTTTCCAAAGACAACCATTAAACTAACTGGGCTATAGTTTAATAAAAGCAGGAATTGTTGATTCTGGAGACCGGAAAGAAAAATGAAGTGCTGAAGAAACCCAGCAGGCAGCATGGGTGAAGAGATGAAGATTTAATGTTTTGAGTCCAGTGATCCTTCATCAGAACCGAAAGCAGCCAGGAATGGTGGTGTTTGTATAGTTTCTGTCTCCTTTTTTTTGAATGAGGGCATTATATTAGTATTTTACAAATCTGCTGGAGCCTTTCCAGAATCCAGGGGATTCTGAAATGTTATGATCAATGCATCCAATATCGCTGCTGTCACTTGCTTTAAGTCCTAGGATGTAGACTATCAGATCCTGGGATTTGTATGCCTTCAATCTCAATAATTTGCTCAGTTCTTCTCTAGGGATGGCAGTTGTTTTAAGTTCTTCCTTTTCCATAATCCCTTTGCTACCTGAAAAATCTCTGCATCCTCTTCACAACTCACCCTCCCATTCAGCTTTGTGTCAGCTACAACTTGAGATATTATGTTTAGTTCCTTGAACTAAATCATAAATACATAGGAATACAGATATAGTGAATAACTGGGGTCCAAGTACTGATTTCTGTAGTACCCCACTAGTCTCTGGCTGCCACTCAGAGAAAGACCTGTTTATTCCTACCCTTTTCTTCCTGTCTACCAACTATTTACTTATCCATGTCAGTACACTATCTCAGTCCCATATGCTTTAATTTTACACACTAATCTCTTATTTGGGGCATTATCGAAAGCCTAAGTAAACCATATCCACTGGCAACTCCCATATCAACTCTACTAGTTTCATCCTTAAAAAAACATCCAGGAGATTTGTCAAGCCTGATTTCCCTTCTGTAAGTCTATGCTGACTTGGTCCGATCCTGTCATTGTTTTCTGGGTGCTCTGCTATTTAATCTTTTATGACAGACTCTAGCATTTACCAACTACCAATGTTAGGCTAACTGGCCTATACGCCCCTGTTTTCGATCCATCTCCTTCTTTTAAAATAGAGGGGTTACATTAGCTACTCGCCAAACTGTAGGCACTATTCCAGAGTCTTTAGAATCTTGAAAGATGACCACTAGTGTATTCATTATTTCAAGGACCTTTTCCTTAAGTAAACGGTGATGTAGATTATTGGGCCCTGAGGATTTATCAGCCTAAATTCCATAAGTTTCTCCAACGCTATTTCCCTACTAATACTGATTTCCTTCTGATCCTTATTACATGCTGTGGTCCCCAACATTTTTGGGATGTTTGTGTCCTCCTTTGTGAAGACAGAACCAAAATATGTATTTAATTTGTTTGCCATCTCTTTGTTCCCCATAAAACATAGCCTGTTTCTGACTGTAAGACATTAGTCTTAACTAATGTATTTTTCACTTACTTATAGAAGAAAAATAGGGGAGTCTTGCTGAAACTACGCAAGGCACTAGGCAGACCACACCTGCAATACTGTGAACAGTTCTGGTCCACTTACCTGAGGAAAGATTGATATTGGAGACAGTCCAGAGAATATTTCCTAGTTTGATCCCCGGTATAAAGGCATACTCTGGTGAGGAGAGGATGAGTAGGTTGAGCTTGTACTATTCGTATATGAGAATGAAAGGAAATCTTTTTGAAATATATAAGATTCTTAGGGGGTTTGACAGGGTAGATGTGGAGAGGTTGTTTCTCCCTGGCAGAGTGCCTAGGACCTGAGGCATAATCTTAGAATTAGGGGTTGTCCATTTAAGACACATGAGGAGGAATCACTTCTCTCAAAAGGTTGTGAATCTGCAGAGGGCTGTTGTGGCACAGTTGTTAATTCCATTCAAGGCTGAGATGACAGATTTTTAATCATTAAGAGAATCAAATGTTATGATGATGAGACCGGAGAGTGAAGTGGAGGATTACCAGATCAGCCATGATCACTGTGAATGGCAGAATGGACGGAATGGTCTAGTTCTGTTCTTATAGTCTCATTGAAAAGATATGTCTTAATCAGGGCTGATTATGTAAGGGAAATCGGTGGTGTAATTGAAACACTTCAATATGAATTCAGATCCCACCATAATAAATGGTGGAATCTAAATTCATCTAATAATTCTGGAATTGAAAGATGATTTCTGTAACGATGACCAAGAAACTATTGATTGTCATTACAACCCATCCAGTTCACTCATCTTCTTTAGAGATTGAAATTTGCCATGCCTACATGCTCTGCCCAACATGTGACAACAGACCCACAGTAATATGTGTAACTCTGAACTGCTCTTTGATATGTTGTAGCAAATCACTTAGCTCATGGGCACTTGGACAACAAAGGCTCAACTTTGAAGTGGTGCCTACGTTCCATGAACGAGTAAATAAAAATAAAGTACCAAATTTCAGGTAAACCTGTTTGATCTACCTGCATAAAAACCAAAATGACTGCAGATGCTGGAAATCAGGAACAAAAACAGAAATTGCTGGGTAAGTTCAGCAGGTCTAACAGCATCTTTGGAGAGAAATCAGAGTTGACGTTTTGGCTCTGAGGAAAGGTCGCTTGCTGTCTAAATATGCTGCCAGACCTGCTGAACTTTCCCAGCAGTTTCAGTTTCTGGTCTACCTGCATGTTTTTTTTTATGTTAGTCCTATTTCTGTCCTTTTTTCTAATGGAACTTTAGTCGCTTAAAATCCTTGTTCTCCAATGTTCAGCCAACACCAATTCAACATTTTCTCATTAAGATTTTATCACTCATTTTCTACCCCATCCTCTGCACCAAATGCTGTCTAAGCATCAATAAATTCAACCTCAATCTCAACTCATCATTTGCTGTCTCATCTGAATTCATGACATTCTTATCGTAATGGATGCAAAGATTACCCCCAATAAACTCAGCACATTTTTAGGTCTGAAATTGCAAACAGGGCCACAGTAACTTTCCTCACCTTGCAAGCTTATTACAGGAATTGAGTAAATCAAAATTATCCTGCAAGACAATGGCCATCTTGACTACAAGATTGTTCTCTGTGTGGTGTGCCAGTTCACAAAGGATCTAAATGCCACTTATTTTGAATCTGAAAAGTGCCTAGTCTATCTCTCAGTAGCCTGGAAAAGCGAAGTATCCTTCCTTAAAAAAAAGTCATCAGGTCAAGAAAGCTGATTCATGCTGCTGCTGTGCAGTAGAGAATTGGGTAGTAGTTTCTATTACAAGCATGTTGCTGTTGGTCAAAAAAGACATTACTGCACAATTGAGAAACATTGTGTATGGATTGAAGTGCCCATTGAGGACAGATAAGTAGGCCATACAATTCAGTGATTGACTCAAACAGTACACTCCTTTGGCTGTTTGTAATAGACAGAGTACACAAGGCTGTACTCAAAGAATCTGCACTTGTGGAAGCATAAACAGAACTATTGTTGTTTTGCCATTGGGCAGCATTTGATGAGCAATGGAGTGTGCAAATAGTTATACTAATGAGCAATTTAAGATAATGAGGGGTCATAACTTGGCTTATTCATTTATCTGGATTCTATTCTCTGCAAACTAAAGAAATATGTTCAAGCCTTCCACCTCTTTTGAATTACCTCAGAGCGTGTGCAGCCAGTAGTTCCCTGTAACATTCTCCACGGCATCACTTCAACTGATCAGAGTGTATTTGCCAGCTAGTCAGCACCTCTTTACTCGTGTGGCGCAAATTTTTGTAATGAGTGGAAATTTGGTACTTTTGCATATGCCCTGGTGAGTGCAAGATGAAAAGCTTTGGTAATGACTGTTTTTTTTCTCAGCTTAATTTCTGTACTACCAAACAAATAACCTGTTAAAGATCATTGTTTGGTTTTTAAACCAAAATGAACCTTAAGTTGGTTTGAAGCCTTCAGCTTCACCTTTGCACTCAGACAGGCTATAAATTGCTTGAGCTTTATTGTTGCAAGGTACTTCATCATTTGAGCCCCTTGGCTAAATTCTGCCTTGTAATTACTCCCACGTATCTATTATATTCTAACACACTGGTTGGTATAATCTCCTGTAATGGTGTAAACTACTAGAAATGCACAGCAGGTCAGTCAGTAAAGTCTGTTTAGTTGTTTCATAGAATTTTCTGTTTATATTTCATATTTCTATCACTTGTTTTATATCTAAATGAATATGATCTCCGGTTGAACCTCTATATATTTGATATTATGTATTTAATTTTCAGGTTTAACCCACATAATATCTAACATGTGTGTTGTGATTCCTCAATAAGAGAGTGCAAGTTTATCTTAGACCAGTAATACTGTTAAAGATTGTACAAAAACGAATTACATTTTTTAATCTTTTCTTCCTTTTTGCAGATATCTGTTTGTGTTGCAACTTAGACAAGATATTCTTTGTGGCAAGTAAGTTGATGTCAGGCAACTTAGTCTGCAGAAGATATGGATCCTCCAAAAATGTGTAATAATGTGGTTATCTGATTCTGTACATTTTGGATTGAGCTAGCCGTTTTGTAATACCTGATGAAAGATCTGAATGCATGTAATTCCACCGAACTGAATTGATTAGTATAATAATATGCCTGCTGATTTTTTATTGCTGTGGAAGTGCATTGATTAGCGAAAATATTCAATATAGTTTACCCTTGGAACAAGTGAACAACCCATGTGTAATTCACCTGCATAATGAATTCCTAATTGTACTCTAGCTTGCTATGTATTAATTTTTTTTGCAGATTGAAATGTCCTTATGATATTGGTGTAGAGTTGGCTGCTTATTGCCTTCAAGGTAAATGAAGAATTTCTTCTCAGATTTTAAGTTCAACTCTTTGTGCTGTTAATTCTCTGAAGTTCTGTGTCAGTTTTGCTTTAATCCTCTTTTTTTATGTTTATTTGCCAGACATTCTTTAGCAGTTTAAATAAAATTGTTTTGGAATAATGAAACTGCTGCTGATTCACAGTATAAAGGCGCAACAGAAATTGTGAAAAACCATGGTTAAAAGTCACCTAATCTTCTGGGATTTGCAGTCTATAACGTCCAGCTGATATCTGAGGTCTTTAATACAAATTGATCCCATTATATAATGGACATAAAATTAAAAGAGCAATTGTTTAGAACTAGGCATTGAACTGTTAGTCTTCGTTCCAACATATGGTGCAGTTTCTTACATCACTAATCTTCCACCATTAATTGCTGTGATTGGTAGACATCCAGCAACAATCTCTCTACAGCCAATTTGGCTTGTGCCACATGACACAGACTCTATTAAAATTGTTTTATTTCTACGTTGATAAATCAGTTCAGTTGGTTAGGTAGTTGTGAATCTGAAGATTCTTTTATATTCTTAATTTTAATCCCTCTGTCGTAATATCTGATGGACTTGTGGTTGGGGTAGGCCACTGCCATTAGTTCTGTTTTTGCCTTTTTAGATATTATATTATTGATCTGTTATGAAATGTTCTTACACACCTCTGGAGCTGGTTGGACTTGAATTTCATGGCTCAGAGGTAGAGACACTACCACTCTGCCACAAGAACTCTAAAGTTATAACCAACCTATTTGGATAAGTTATGACACACTTCCAGGCTAGGTGGGACTTGAGCCCAGACCTGTAGACGTGTGCTGACAGTAAGGGTCTATCTCATTATTAGTGATAGAGGATGGACCACTGGAGAGTCTTAAGAACAGAATGCACTTGTCTGACATGTAGTTTGTTAGATGATAGCAGTAGGTACAATAAACATTAACTAGTTAAGTTTAATTGTAACTGTCATGTGTGTCCCCATTGGGACCTCCTGCAAGATTAACTATGACATCACCAGATTGGGTGGACTGCTACAACTTCCATTTTAACTCTCATAATCTTATACAGTATCTCCCCGAAGTGCTTTGCCACTCAGTGACCAATTGTGCATTCTATATCTACTTCTACATTTAATCTAAGAATCTCCCCACTATTCTCAGACTTAATACTTAGAGGCGGTCTGGACGTTGCACAATTCTTCCAGAATATATCTGTCCTGATTTGGAAGATTGTCAGGCCTTTAGGTCGAGGACTGTTGACCTTGATTCTGATTCTCCGTAAATGATTCTCAGGAGGATTTTTTTTAATATCTGTTGAATGCTGTTCACTGAGAGTGTCGTTCTTGCTGAACCAAGCTGTTGGTCCAATACTTTAAATGTAAGACCTTATAATTTCCTAAATAGGTGAACCCTTCACAGCTATCTCAGATCGTTGCCCTTTATCTGAATGATCTTAATCTCATCTAGGTTCATCATGGGAATTCTGTTCTGGATATTTGTGGATAGAGAATTGCTTTTTCGATTTGAACATGTTTTTTCTTCGTGCAGTATCAACATTAGTCTGGTGTTCTGGATAACTAGTTCAGAGACATTATCACTACTCATATGTACCTACACATCCCTATTAAATACATAGTTTAACCCATGAGTAACTATTCAACAGATCTTATTCTTAAGTTATGCCTCCTAACTATACCTCCTCCAGACCACTTACACCCCAAAGATCTGATTCAGCACCTCTTCTCCTCTTCCTACATAAAATTGTCTCTCCTTGGATAATCCAGCCCAACACTACTACAGGCCTAGATTCACCTAATGGACGAGTTAGTGAGAATGGAAAAAAAATGTAACTTCTGAAAATGAAACTGTAGCCTCAGAAATCTGAAAAAGAGACCTGATGTTAAAAAAAAATTAGTTATTCTGATCCCTGTGGGGTAAGTAGGTCCACGCAATATTCTGATGATGATGTACTTTAATGAGAAATGGAAGAAACAGGACTATAATACAGTAACCACGTGTGAATAGTGAACTGAATGTCTCTTGTATCAACAAGGTGTGAATTTATTTTCCTTAACATTCTTTTCAGATGCTGGCTAAGTACTCTTTTTCAGGCCATTACAACAAAGGCACTTCTGCCTGTACCCAGTTGGGATGAAGGATGCTGCTCTCATTGGGTAGATGCCTGTGCCTTTGATGAAGCTTTTCTTCCCATGGCCTTTCCCCAGCTTTGTTGTTTTCTCATGAAGCAGCATCAGAGAATGGTGGAAAATCTGCTTTGCACCAAGCTCATTTTAGAGTGTGCATTTCTGCCATACTGTACTAATTATCTGCAGAAAATGGTATGTGTGTTGTTAGATCCAGCAGAAATATTCTCTAACCCAGGCCACCCAACTGCCTATCAGCATTCTGTTGTCAAATCAGACAGGTGTTAAGTGGGAGATAGTAGGAACTGCAGATGCTGGAGAATCTGAGATAACAAGGTGTAGAGCTGGATGAACACAGCAGGCCAAGCAGCAT